TTTCAGACACACGTTTATTTCGGTGTCTTACGGTGGCACCAGGGTCCCATGGTGCCAGGGGCTGCACAGACCCAGAGTGAGAGACAGTCCTGCCCTGAAGAGCTCACAGCCTAGCCAGGCACCAGGTGGGAGGGGAAACTGAGGCACAGAGCAGGGAAGAAACTTGTTCACAGTCACGCAGCAGGTTAGGGGCAGAGCAAAGAATAAAATCAGCCAGTCCTGTGCCCAGCGTTTAGGGGCTAGATCTTCAGCCGGTGTAGATCTCTGTTGACACTGATGGAGCTACAATGATTTACATCAATGGGGGAATCTGGCCCTCGGCCTTCAGGTAACGTGGCCTTTCACCCGAAGTTCACGTCACCCCACGGCTGGCCGGAACCGTGGGTCGTGCTCATCAGCCTCTGCTCAGTTCTTGGTGGGCAGACCTGAGCGGGGAGGAGGGTCTGGCCGTGGAACGGCACAGAGGGGGTGGCTCTCAGTTATGTTCATGCCCCTCCAGCACCGGGCTGGCATCTCTGCTCCCTGCCCCGGGTGAATCGGCGGCATGGCCGGAGCGCCAACGCACGCACGAGCTCACACACACACACGCATATACGTTTATTCTCTCCCCAGGTTGTCGGCTGCACCATGGTGGGACTGGGCCTGTGGATTAAACTGGGAAGCGCCTCCTTCGTCAGGGTCTTGGGCGCCACCTCGGTGTACTTTGCCCACGTCGGGTACTTCTGCATCGTGGCGGGCAGCATGGTGGTCGTGCTGGGGTTCATGGGCTGCTGGGGCGCGGTGAAAGAGAACAGATGCCTCCTGCTGACGGTGAGTGCACGCAGCTGCTGTCCGCAGGGGCGGCGTCCCGGCCCGCAAGGACGGGACCACAGACCTTTCCCGCTTGAGCTAAGGGGGGGTCGAGCGTGCCGTTACGATGCACCCATCGGCCCAGCCGTGTGATTTACCCCAGCTGGGGAGCTGACCCCCTACATTTGGCCCTAAACGTCGCTTGTACTATAACTAAGCAGTGGTCTCCCTTGCAGTCCCCAACTGTTCCCTTCCATCCTTAGCGGGTGAAACTCACGCCTAGTCAGAGGGAGCGGGACAAGATTCACACACCACTTAAGCCCTTTGGCAGCTCGTGTGGTTCCCAGCCCTCTCTGTTCTGGGGGACTTTGACCTGCTTTCTACCCACGTGAACGCTTTGTTTAGCAGACAGCCTCTCAACCAGCAGCTGTCAAGACGCTTAGGGATGGGAATGACCCCCTAACCCCTGACCTCCTGACCCCTGTTCATCTGGGCAGCCACAGCCCCTCTAGGTTAAATCCTTTTATTGTAGTGTAAACTTGACTCCTGTGCCTCACTTCGCAATCCCTTCACCTTCATCCCAAACGAATCTGAGAGTGAACAAGGCCTCCACGGTGTGCACTCACTGCGACCTTCCAATGTCCTTTCACCCCCTCTCTCACAGTACTTCTTAATAATGCTGGTCATCTTCATCGCTGAAATCGCAGCAGCTGTCGTCGTATTCGCTTTCACGTCCTTCGTGAGTATCCAGAATTCCCTTCTGATGTGGGAAATTCTCATTTTCCTTGACAAAGTTTCACCCCGATCCTACAAAGAAGAGTCGCTTGGGATTGGGTCCTTTTTCCAAACGGGGAGAAATTTCAAAAGGGAAGTTAAGTGGCCAACTTTTGTGAGTTCCTTGGAAAATCCAGGAGTCGCGCGGGACCCTAAACATCTAGTGACGTCTCGTTCGAATCGCACTGCACCAAAGAACGAGCCCGGAGTTTCCAAATCTGGAACTTTTGGTGGCCAAATAAAAATCTGTTGACAAAATTTCCCCTCCAAGTTCTGATCATCTGGACTCTGAGCGCAGGTGAATTCTGACTAACTGATTTGTCAAAGATGTCATCGCACATAAAGAAAAGAAAAAGGAAATCGCCCCACCTCCCCACCTCGCATTTGAACCAGCTCCGTCCCTCAAAACCAACTCACAGCTTTAACTGAGGTCTACCCACTTCTCATCCTTAACTGATGAAACGGTTCCTCTTTGCTTTAGAATGATTCCTACCGCATTATTCTGATTGTTCGTAAAGGCAAATTTAAATATGATCGATTCTCCTTTGGCTTGGATCTACATTTACAAAGCTAAGGCCCAGATCCTGCACAGATTCACAGAGTTTAAGGCTACAACGGATTGTTATGATCTAGTGCGACCTCCAGCGTAACGCAGTCCAGGAAATTTCACCTAGTTATTCCTGTATCCAGACCAGTAACTTTTAGTTGAGTGAGCGACTGCTCTAGAAAGGTGTCCTGCCCTATCCCTTGGGAATCTGATCCACTGGCTAATTACCCTACCTGTTAAGTACCTGCACCTTATTTCCATTTGGGCTTCATTTACACCCATCCACTGCAGGAGCAATAGATGTCAGGTTAAGTGCGTGAGTAAATCTGTGCAGGATCGGGGCCCACACTAGGGCCAAAGTGAGCTGGCTAGTCTGAGGCTGTCAGGTTTTACTAGCCCAACATGCCACTTTGCTGTCTCTGGGTAAGATCTTTAGCGGGTGGCCATCAGCCCAGTTCCTGATTTACCCCACCTGAGGCTCTCTCCCTGAAAACCTTTGGCCACACGTTGGCATCAGACGGGATCTGAAGAGAAAGTATTTTCTGGCTCTAGACCCGTTTCATTCTCCCCGTTTAAGGCTCGCAGTATCGTCCTAGACAAATCACTGGCTGCCTTGAAGAAGAAATACAGCGGCTACAAACACGATGATATCGTGTCCTATGGATGGAATGCATTCATGCTGAAGGTAGGGGACCCTCCGCCCCCCAGACCTCCTGGGTCAAAGGACTCGACACATGTGTTCCCACATTCTTATTACACATATTACGGTAGCTCCGAGAGGCCCCACCCAGTGTGCCCGGTGCTGCACATACAGAGTGATAGTCCCTGCTGTGACGAGGTGGTGTGAGAGGAAGGACAGTCTAGTGGTTAGGACAGAAAATCCTGGTTCAATTCCCTTCTGTCCCATGCACTCCCTGTGTGACCTGGGGCCAGTCACCTGGGCTCCCTGGGCATCCGTTCCCCATCAGTATCATGGGAATCATAGCAGAGAGGTTGGGAGGAGACGCCCAGCTGGTACGGTGATGGGCCCACGTACACGCCTTAGACAGGGAGCAGAATTTACAATCTAAAGAGGCAGGCCAGGCGAAAGGGAGGCTGGTCGTATGCCCACCCTACAACTAGGAAAAGAGACACACAGAGTTGCCCAAGTGGTTCTGTAACACAGCTGGGAACTGGATCCCACGGCAGTATCTTAACCACATGCCCACCCACCCTTCAACGCTAGCATCTAGTGAGTCTCCAGGCCAGATCCTCCGTGTGAATCAGCGCTGCTCTGGCGTCAAAGCAGTCAAGCCAATACACGTGCTAAGGATTTGCTGTGTGGATTTTTGGGGGCAGAAATTTCACACAGTCTCGGGCCGGACGGGATCGCCAGTCTGAGCTCCCGTTCAGCACAGGCCACTAAAAGCCACTCAGTGACTAGTGAGATCAAAGCATCCTAATCCTCAGAGACAAACGTCTTGTGAGCCACGGGCAGAGAATAGGGCCCACCAAGGAGTGACCAATGCCTGCAGCCCCTGCCACGGCAGGGAACTGCTTAGGTGAGACAAGCCCCAGGACCCCAGTAGCGACCTGCACCCCGCACTGCGGAGGAAGGTGAAAAAGCCCTGTCAATCTTCCCAACCCCAAATCTGGTGGCCCCGAGCACGTGAGTGAGATTCACCAGCCAGACAGAGGAGTCTCTGTACCAGCTCAGAGCACTGGTCCATCCTGTCTGGTGTCCCATCTCCCGCTGTGGTTGATTTCGGACGCTTCGGACAAAGGTGGAAACCCCCCACGCCAGAATACAAGATGGGACCATTTTGCTCATCTAGTCTGACCTGTTGACCACAGGCCTTAGAATTTCACCCAGCGTTTACAACACGGGCATTTGATAGCAACCGAAGGGTTAAACATACTTCTCCTCTGGTAAAATCACCATTTGAGCAAAGGAGAACTGAGGAAATTCTGCCGGGATACAGCAGGGAAGGGAGGTAGGAAGGAAAAATGAAACGTTTGAGACCCTGGCCTGTAACAAACCCTGTTGTGTGTCGTTCCTAGCTGAACTGCTGCGGGGTTCATAACTACACAGACTTTTCCGGCTCTGCCTTTCAAATACGGACCAACCTGACTTATCCCAAAAGCTGCTGCAAAGATCCAACGAGCTCCGCATGCAACGGACGCAACGTCAGCAGCGTGGTCATCAACCAGGAGGTCACGGCCCGGTTTGGGGGTCGAAAAGGAAACTGTGGGAATAGTGCTGTTAAAAACCTAGCCTGTCTCTGTTGGAGTCGGAGGGAGCAAGGGAGCACGTGGGGGAGTGATCAGCATCCTGATCTTGCAGCAAACGCTGCCTAGACGTCTACCTGCACCCACAGGGATCTCATGGCAGGATCGGTGCCTATGTGCTCTAAATTCAAAACCAGAAAGCACCTTGTACACCCCTTAAGTGAAGGCTGTGGGGGCTAGTGGGCAGGGCACTGGGTTGGCTCTTCCTGCAGCATGACTTTGGGCAAGCCACTCCCTCGTGCCTCAGTTTCCCTCTCTGTAAAGTGTGGGGGAATAACGATACAGCCCTCTTTTGGAAAGTGCTTTGGGATCTATGGATTTAGGCACAGCCGTAGGCCAGTGGCCAGTCAGCCACGCAGGGGGTAATTCCACCCCCACCCCACCCCCGCGTGAAGGGAAGATACACTAGTTTGCCCAGCAAGTGTGCTGAAGCCAATGGGATTCCACCGGGGGATGGGCTCCCATTGCTTTTTGTTTCCGATTACTCTGAAAGCAGCCTACACCTCACCCTATTTTTTACCCTTCAGGGCTGCTTCCGCCGGCTGGTTTCCCTGATCAAAGACAAGAGCCTATTGCTTGGTGGAGCTGCCACCGGCGCCGCCGTGCTGGAAGTGAGTTTAACCCAAGTTAGTCTGGTCTTAAAGGGACGTGTTCACTTTTAAGTACTCCAGTGATGCACAATTAGCCAGCTGTGCACAGGTCAACCACGATGGGTATGTGCAGCGCCTAACACAGCAGGGCCCTGACCTCAGTTAGATACTAGGGGGTTACACATAAACATAAGAACATAAGCACAGTCATACTGGGTCAGACCAACAGTCCATCTAGCCCAGTATCCTGTCTTCAGACAGTGGCTGGTGCCAGGTGCCCCAGCGGGAATGAACAGAACAGGGAATCATCAAACAATCCAATCCCTGTTGTCCAGTCCCAGCATCTGGCAGTCGGAGGTTTAGGGACACCCAGAGCACTGGGCTGCGTCCCTGACTACCTTGGCTAATAGCCACTGATGGGCCTGTCCTCTAGGAACTTCTCTCATTCTTTTCTCAACCCAGTTATACTTTTGGCCTTCACAGTATCCCCCGGCAAGGAGTTCCACAGGTTGATTGTACGTTGTGTGAAGAATTGCTTCCTTTTGCTTGTTTATAAACCTGCTGCCTTTTCATTTCATTGGGTGACCCCTGGTTCGTGTGTTATGTGATGAGGTAAATAACACTTCCTTAGTCACTTTCTCCATACCAGTAATTATTTTGTAGACCTCGATCATATCACTCCTTAGTCGTCTCCTTGCTACGCTGAACTGTCCTAGTCTTTAAAACCTCTCCTCATACAGAAGCTGTTCCATACCCCTCATCATTTTTATCGTCCTACACTTTTTCCAATTCTATATCTCTTTTTTGAGCTGGAGTGACCAGAACTGCATGCAGTATTCAAGATGTGGGTGTACCATGGATTTATATAGAGGCAATATGATATTTTCTGTCTTATTATTCATTCCGTCTCTATTTTTCTCTCTCCCACTGCAGCTATTAGCTATGATGGTCTCCTTAATGCTGTACGCTAAACTGGAATGACAACATTTGAAGAAACCCAGCAGGAGGACTTCCCAAACCCTTGGAATTGTGTTGCATCAGGGCCGGGGGGGGCGGGGGGACACACTGCACTACATGACAGCAAAGCTGAAATAGTCCCAAGCACTAACGACCCTGCCCCAGAGCCGTCATTGGGAGCAGGACCATTCATTTGCCCAGTTTTCAAACTCCATAGTTACAGAACAGAAAATCCTGGGAGCCATACCACTATGCAGGATCAAAGTTCCCCCAGAGCTTTGAATATGGAAACCACTCTGCACATGCGCGGTTATTAGTGACAAATGTACTGAACTATTTCTAGATTTATTATTCTCCATCCCCGGGCGGGGGGGAGATACCATTTAAACAGAGATAATAAACATGGGGAGACTGATTGCTAGGGTCTCTGTGTTTTTAAATGTGTCTCATCTTCCTAAAATACTCATCAACAGCTTGCTTACCTGTCTCAGTAGATACCAGGTTTTAATTCAGATCAGGCAGGTGTCTTTTTGCCAGGGGCCTGGAAAGGACTGAGAAGGGGATAGCCACTTTCAGACCACTGAAGAGAAAAGGAGAGCGAATGGAGGACCAGGGCTATGTCCCGTTAGGAATACCAATATACTATACGGCAAAGCGCTCCTAGGGCGGACCCAGCTATGCTGGCGAAAGGGTACAGTTTATTCCAAAGTGCAGTTTTGCTGGTATAACTGCATCTACACTAGGTGCTTCTGCGAACACACCTGCCAATCAGAGGTCCCACCTCTTCCCACCGCTGACTGACACAGCTCTGCCGGCAGAGGTCTCTAGCGTAGACCTGGCCTAGGGCTCTGGAGATTCATAGATTTGAAGGCCAGAAGGGACCATTGTGATTATCTAGTCTGACTCCCTGTATAACACAGGCCAGAGACCTGCCCCAAAAGACTCCTGCCTCCAGCCCATCACTTCTGGTTCTGACACAGGTACAGTTACAGAAAGCGAATACCCCTCTCATCAGGTCAGTGACCCTCCTTCCCGGTGTCAAAACCAAATGCAAATAAACCATAAGCCCAGCCATCAAAAGCCCAACCCGTGATTACCACACCCCAGGGCCTGTGGCTAGGAGGAACGGCTAGAAACCGCAGACAGAGGAGAGAGTTATTGTGCCTTTCTCGTGGCCCTGGCAAACAGCAACCTTGGGGCAGAGGTTGGGGAATGCCGACAACCATGAGGTGAGAGGTCATGGCCTCAGGTGGGGGAGTGACAACTATGGAGGGCAGAGGTACAGGCCGAGGTGGCGGGGGAGGGACGACGACAACCGTGAGGGCAGATGGCAGAGATCAAATCCCATGGGAAGCAAGTCTAAGGGGGAAAAACAATTGAAGACAGTTGGCAGTTTTTCAAAGAGACATTATTAAGGGCACAAGAGCAAACTATGCCACTGCATAGGAAAGATAGGAAGTCTGGCAAGAGACCACCCTGGCTTAACCAGGAGATCTTCAATGATCTAAAACTCAAAAAAGAGTCCTACAAAAAGTGGAAACCTGGTAAAATTACAAAGGACGAATATAAACAACACAAGTAGGCAGGGACAAAATTAGAAAAGCCAAGGCACAAAACGAGATCGAACTACCTAGGGACATAAAAGGAAACAAGAAAACATTCTACAAGTACATTAGAAGCAAGAGGAAGATCAAGGACAGAGTAGGCCCATTACTCAATGAGGGGGGAAAGACAATAACAGAAAATGTGGAAATGGCAGAGGTTAATGACTTCTTTGTTTCGGTTTTCACCAAGAAGGTTGGTGGCGATTGCACGTCTAACATAGTGAATGCCAGTGAAAATGAGGTAGGATCAGAGTCTAAAATAGGGAAGAAACAAGTCAAAAATTACTTAGACAAGTTAGATGTCTTCAAATCACCAGGGTCTGATGAATTGCATCCTAGAATACTCAAGGAGCTGACTGAGGAGATATCTGAGCCATTAGCAATTATCTTTGAAAAGTCATGGAAGATGGAAGACATTCCAGAAGACTGGAAAAGGGCAAATCTAGTGCCCAACTATAAAAAGGGAAATAAGGACAACCCGGGGAATTACAGACCAGTCAGCTTAACTTCTGTACCTGGAAAGATAGTGGAGCAAATAATTAAGCAATCAATTTGCAAACACCTAGAAGATAATAAGGTGATAAATAACAGTCAGCATGGATTTGTCAAGAACAAAGCATGTCAAACCAAACTGATAGCTTTCTTTGACAAGGTAACAAGCCTTGTGGATGGGGTGAAGCGGTAGATGTGGTATATCTTGACTTTAGTAAGGCTTTTGATACAGTCTGGCGTGACCTTCTCATAAACAAACTAGGGAAATACAACCTAGATGGAGCTACTATAAGGTGGGTGCAAAACTGGTTGGAAAATGGTTCCCAGAGAGTAGTTATCAGTGGTTCACAGTCATGCTGGAAGGCCATAATGAGTGGGGTCCCGCAGGGATAGGTTTTGGGTCCAGTTCTGGTCAATATCTTCATCGATGATTTAGATAATGGCATAGAGAGCACACTTATAAAGTTTGCGGACGATACCAAGCTGGGAGGAGTTGCAAGTGCTTTGGAGGATAGGTTTAAAATTCAAACTGGAGAAATGGTCTGAAGTAAATAGGATGAAATTCAATAGGACAAATGCAAAGTACTCCATGTAGGAAGGAACAATCAGTTGCACACTTACAAAATGGGAAATGACTGCCTAGGAAGGAGTACTGCGGAAAGGGATCTGGGGGTCATAGTGGATCACAAGCTAAATATGAGTCAACAGTGCAACGCTGTTGCAAAAAAAGCAAACATAATTCTGGGATGTATTAGCAGGAGTATTGTAAGCAAGACACGAGAAGTAATTATTCCGCTCTACTCCATGCTGATTAGGCCTCAGTTGGAGTATTTTGTCCAGTTCTGGGTGCCACATTTCAGGAAAGATGTGGACAAATTGGAGAAAGTCCAGAGAAGAGCAACAAAAATGATGAAAGGTCTAGAAAACATGAGGTATGAAGCAAGATTGAAAAGAATTGGGTTTGTTTAGTCTGGAGAAGAGAAGACTGAGAGGGGACATGAGGACAGTTTCCAAGTACATAAAAGGTTGTTACCAGGAGGAGGGAGAAAAATTGTTCTTCTTAACCTCTGAGGACAGGACAAGAAGCAATGGGCTTAAATTGCAGCCAGGGCGGTTTAGGTTGGACATTAGGAAAAACGTCCTGTCAGGGTAGTTAAGCACTGGGATAAATTGCCTGGGGAGGTTGTGGAATCTCCATCGTTGGGGATTTATAAGAGCAGGTTGGACAAACCCCTGGCAGGGATGGTCTAGACCATACTTAGTCCTGCCAGGAGTGCCGGGGACTGGACTAGATGCCTCTCGAGGTCCCTTCCAGTCCTGTGATTCTGTAACTTGGGAGTGGGGGGCGACCGACCCAACAAGCACGGGGCAGAGGTCAGAGCCTCCAGGGACGACAACCACCAGGACAGTGGTGGGAGCTTGGGGGGAGGAGCTAGAAATCTCTGCTTTTGGGATGGGGAGCAAAGGTCACGGCCTCACAGCTGGGTCAGAGGTCACAGGCTCAGGTGGGGGCAAAGGTCACATCTTAAGAGCCGGGTCAGAGGTCACAGGCCAGAAGGGGCAGCCGCATTGAGGCAAAGGCCATAGGCTGGCTAATGATCCCAGAGAGCACAGGTGAGAACAACGTCACGTGGGTCATGCCCAGGAGAAACCACACACCCAAAGGATTATGGGTAAAAAGCTCTCTAACCTGTGGTCCCCCCCCCCATATAAGCTGGTAAAGCCTGGCTCACTTCCAATGTGATTGGACGATGAAGCTGTCAATCTGCCCAGAGCTTCAACCACTTTCCACTTCATTCCCTTCAAAGTCCCACCTTACTTGCCTCCCCAACGCCATTGGGCAAACAAATGATTCCCTTCCTTCTATAGGTCCAGAGTCCTGTCCATCTGCTATCGCCCCACCTTCACGCACATATTAACCAATGGATTTCCAAATAGGCAGAGTGAGATGGATGATTGACAGAATATGAACCAATCAAATTCTGGACTCATTGGCTCATCCTCCAATAGGGAGGTAGATGGAATATATTACTTTTTATTGGCTTAGCTACCTATCAATCAAATTTAGACCCACCCCCCCAGCCACGCACCAATAAGGAGCTACCTTGGGCACTCTACGTTTCTGATTGGTTTATATATGTGTCACTCATTAATAAGAACCGCCCATGCATTGCACCTTCCAATAAAGAAGTAGCGGGTAGAATCCCTTCCCTGTGAATGGCTCAAATACCTGTCAATGAAATTCCCTCCTGCCTTTTCATCCTTCAATAGGTGCGCCGGATAGGCCTGTCCTGGGCATTTGCCATCTTTGATTGGTCCATAAAAATGTCAATCAATTATAATATCAGACCATCCTTAATCTTCTCCAATGGGAGTCCAAATATGAGCCACATTTCATCTCTGATTGGCTTAATCTTATATCAATCAATACGGGCCGTCGCCTACTTGTCCTCCAATAATAAAGCACATTCAGGGACCCTTCCCTGTGCGATTGGATGAGTCCTCTGACACTCAGCCTTAACACCCGCCTCCTATCCCTTTAATAGGCCAGTCAGGTAAGCCGGCTCCTTCCTGATCGGGATTGGCTGCGTGTCGTTGTCACTCAGAGCGCTCCGCTGGTGTGACTGGCCTTCGAGCCTCGCGGGGGGCGGGGATATCGGCGGAGTCCCCGCCCCCCGATCCCACCGTGCTTTGCGGGGGTGTGTGGAGAGCTCGGCCTGGTTCCCGCGTTGAGCCCTCGCCGCCGCCGCCGCCTCCTCAGCGTCTCTCGCCGGCCTCAGCCGCCGCCATGTCGGACTATAGCCCGGCCGGGCCCCCGCCCTCCGGAGGGCCCCCCGGTGGGGGAGCCGGCGGAGCCGGAGCTGGGGGGCCGCCCCCGGGCGGAGCGGGCGCGGGAGGCGCGGGGGGGCCCGGCCCGGGCGGAGCGGGGGGGCCGCCCGGGGGGATCCGCAAGGACGCCTTCGCCGACGCCGTGCAGCGGGCCCGACAGGTGAGGGGGCGGCGGGGCCGGGCCGGGAGCCGGGGG